TAAAGCGCAAAAATACTTGTTTTAGAGCGGAAAAGTCCAAAATAAAGGGAGAATGGTTCTCAAGTGTAGAAAAGACCTCTCAGATATCTGCAGCTGTATATCTGCCCTGGTTGTTGAATTCTCTAGATACTGACCGGAGTTTGAATTCAAGATCAATCTCGGTAACCACACGTGTTCGTTGGTTCAACTTGCTTTCCAACCCGTTTCTTTTGTTTTCGTCAGACCCCCGCCGAATTCCTCAACTTCAGAATGAGCCAAGGTGTCTTGCTTACTTATACTGAAGCCAATTTACTCAGGTACCAACCAAAATCCAATCTAATGTACCGCGGTCCGCAAAATCAACGCCGTTTCTCTCTTGTCCGGATCCCAATTGAACACATGCGAAACCATGCCGGTGAGCTCATCTTCTGACATCTATTTCTCTTCTCTATTCGCTCTCGGCCCCTACAATTAAAATATTGCATGCTGCCGCGCTGCGCATCCATATCATTTTCCCGTGAACAAATCAAATACCTTTTGAAAAAGTGCTCCGGGATCATATCCTCTGGCCATTTACTCTTGGGTAGCCGTGCAAGGAAGACAAACGATTTTTGCTGGGTGTCTAGACTCTGAAATTGTTGGTATATCCGGGGCTTGTTCTTCTCTCGGGTGCTCGTGATTGCATTGTGATATTTGCGTCTTGTATTAGCGTAGGAAGCCTGGGAAATCTCTCTGTGTGCACATCTATGTAGGTAATTTGTACATTGTAGAGCTTTGTGGAGCTTGGGGAGCCTTTGTTCTGTGAACATTCAACCGGGTTTGAACCCAGATAAGATTGATTGAATTGACCCAGATTATCTAATGTAAGATCACCCTCAGTATTCAGTTCTTCAGTGTGTAAATCCTCAAGCACATATAACACTCACAAGTGGAACTCATGGTGTGTAAATCAGTTTCAGGCCATGACACGGCCAGCACAATCATCGTCCCATAACCATTTATATTTAAGCTCAATAATCACTGCATTCCGAGGGGTCGTAGACGAAGACTTCGTCTACTCATGGAGACGGAGGTAGACGAAATTACAGTATAATCACCCTCTCTGCGCCGTTGTGCTATTCTGTCTGCGCTTCTTTGGCCTTGAAATGGTGTACTAGGGCCCCCAGGTCCACGTTGTGAAGCAGAAAGTGGAAATTTCCGGTTGGCAGGTCCGATTTGGCCGATTAACGTCAACTTCATCAATATCTCGACTATATTTGGAACGAGCGCGTAATTTCGTTCAAATTTTGCTGGAGAAGGCCTAGGGGTGTTAGAAATTGATAGTTGAGGGCTGTAGTTCAAGAATATGAGAAATGAAGAGGTGTCTGTGTGATTAAAGCGCAAAATACGAGCTTCAAGTAGACGGACGTATAACGGAGGTAGACTGACGTAGGTGAAATTTCGTCGACTCGGCGTCGGCGAAGGTCGGCTACGGCGTAGCCCGAGGTAGCCACACGTAGCCTGACGTAAACTGACTTCGGCTACCAAGGCCCGGAATGCAGTGAATACCACACCTTTAGGTTACTGTGGCTCAGGTTTGGATAGAGTTTCAAATCAGCTATGTAGCTGATCAATTTAACTAGTAATTCACTGACTCCGACAGTCACAGCGAAAGAGCTGAATGAGCGCAGAAAACAGTTGCAACTTTAGCCGGGAATGGCCGAGAAGCTGTCAAATTTGACCGCGGGATTGATCGGGCCGCAGTTTAAACTCCGGTCAGTATCAGTATAATCACAGTAGGCCCGCGCAGGCGCGGCAGAGCCCACTATCCCCTCGTCCTGTTACGGAGAGTCTAGTAGCTTAATTTGCTAATCGATATATATCACTGTAAGAGCACAATAAAAATATGAAAGATTCCTAAAAATAATCTACCGGGCCTGGCTCAAAGCTCGCTCGGTCGACGCTTCGCGTCGACCAGCTCTCATTGAGCCGGCCCAAAGTGCTAGCGCTTTGTTGAGACGGTGGTAAACAACCCTACGCTCTGAAAAAGAAAAGATTTTGAGAATCCAGATCATTTTATATGAAGCCTTTCATGTGAACACTGTCTGGAATCAGCGGAGAATGATATAGCAAGAATACGCACTGTCTTACGGTCACAAGGAGGGTACTTATGGCGAGCGGGAGCGCGAAGACATGATTATTGGCGATGAACAGCAGTCGCAGGAGGATGGTGAGAGCTGGAAGGAAGCCAACAGGCTGTCAAGGGGATTAGTGTCTCAGAGAGCAGAACGAGCACATCACGCACTTGTAGAATTATAGGATCACAAGTTTATCTTTGATATTCCCCCGTTTTGAGCTTGAGGGAACCGGAAGCAGAATTGTTGCAGACTGTCCATAGAGTTGATGTACGAACTCGCTAGGCTTGAACCTTGAGCGGACGGCTTGTCAGCTTTGAGGGTCTAAGGACTTGAATTACTCGGGGCTTGAGGAGAGAACAATATGCAGCAACTTGAGGTTGTTGAAGTATGCAAGGCAGCCTTGAATAACAAACACAAAAACTTGACGTGTCGTGCCGTTGCCAGACCCGGAACTCTTGCTTCTTTGTGGAAATGAGACCCTTGAGATGTCGAAGAACTCGGAGTCGATTGATAAGACAATTGCAATCTTTGTTGAGGAGAAGAGAGGTGATGAGAGACGACGGCGACGGGTCGCGGTATTGAGAGAAGATGGGAGAAAGGAAGCAAGAGGTGTGGGTCACATTGTCACACTCAGCGAATCCTTACTTATATGACCGAGTCAGAAACAAATGACTCCATTCACACGAGTCAACAACCCGAAAGAGACTGAGTCGAGGAGCGGAGGCAAGGACTCGGACTAGGGCAACCCCGCGATGGCGAGGGTTGATGGGAAACGGTCTGATTCCCACGCGACCGATTGCGATCAAATGATCACGTGACTCAACCTCACAGTTAAGGATGGCGCGCTTGTAGGAGAAAATTTGGCAAGAGCCCTAAATTTTACATGAATTAGCAGAGTAATACTTACTGAAGAGTCTCTAAAATTTCCCCAGGACACACGAAATTCGGGGGGACATTGAACTTTTTGTGTTCCAAACAAGGTAAAACCCTCGGCCACCAGATGCTGTTTCCGGGCATCTGATCGCCCTCGAAATGACGGATTTTTCGACTAGGGCAACCCCGCGATGGCGAGGGTTGATGGGAAACGGTCTGATTCCCACGCGACCGATTGCGATCAAATGATCACGTGACTCAACCTCACAGTTAAGGATGGCGCGCTTGTAGGAGAAAATTTGGCAAGAGCCCTAAATTTTACATGAATTAGCAGAGTAATACTTACTGAAGAGTCTCTAAAATTTCCCCAGGACACACGAAATTCGGGGGACATTGAACTTTTTGTGTTCCAAACAAGGTAAAACCCTCGGCCACCAGATGCTGTTTCCGGGCATCTGATCGCCCTCGAAATGACGGATTTTTCCGGACTAGTCACAACGAGGGAACGAGTCAGGGAGCGCGCCAGCCAACGTGACCGCGTGGTGTGGGAGGATCAGAACTTTTGACGTGGCGGCCCGTAGCGGGCCTGAAATTTACTGATCGCGACCCCCCCAAAACCCACTAAGGATAGTGGGAATCAGTATCCGACCACCGCCATGAGTAACCGGCCATAATTCCCTAGTCTTATGGTTACCGCGCCCCTTCAACCGCGTCAGAATGTTATTAGCTAATATTATATAAGCAGATTTCACGTCGCGTATATCTCCCTCAAAAATTGTGTTCTTTCCTCATTTTCTTGAACAATGCTCAGTGTGATAGCCGCAACTACCTTTCTGCCTCCTCAGACTTTTGATAACAAGATGGGGTGCTTCAGAAAAAGGTAGCGCGTTTACATCACGTGGATATCGGGCCTCTCGGCCGAGCTCCAAAATGCATTCAACATGAGCTCAAAATGCCTCAGAAAATTGAGGAAAGAGCGCACAAAGAGTGAGACTAAAGCTTAGAGTACCCTAGAGCTGAAAATAGCATCGAAATACGGCAATGCAAGGGGGGAAATAGAAACCGGCGATTCCCGGCTTATATAAGATTAGCTAATAAGATCCTGACGCGGTCCGAGGGGCGCGGTAACTAACAGACTCTATATAGCGAGGGCACCGAGCTGGATTATATAGAGCGTCTGTCTACGAGAGACTAATAATTCCCCTCCACAAGTTCACAAGCTGGAAACATAGTTTTTTTCACGTTAGATACTGGAAGTTTAAGTGCCTCTATTTGAATTCAAAACATCCACTTAGTGGTCCAGAGACCTTCAATCTGATTCAAGTGCTACCTTCCTGTGACATGGGTTAGAATTTGGGTTGCAGGTTTTCAAAGACCCTAGACCCAGGTCAGAACCTGTAAATCTACTAATACACTGAATCATATTGCCACATTGTGTTATTCATTATTTGTTCCATTATAGTGCTGCGGTCCCATGTTGCACTCTACGATGTATATGATCAACTACTGACTGGAACAGAGGAGGGGTACATGGAGGGGGAGGGGGAGGGGGAGTGCTGTTGCATGTACCGATGGTGGTGGAATGTATTTGGTGTGAATTCGTAGCAGTAATAAGCGATGTAATATGCTAAACCTCTCTAACGACGGGAGAGTGGTTCCGCACTCAGTGAATAAGCAGAGTCATAGAGTAGGATGGGAGGTGCCAGTGTCTCACACACATGCGAGGACATGGGTCTGGGTCATATTCGGAGGAGAGGAAACAGCAGAGGGCGATACAGATTATATGTGCCTCTCAACCTTTTCTGGGCAGCAGAATGTCCAGACTGATTTGGCCATTGCAACTGCTCTTGCACATATTTCTATCCCAAAATTTGGGAGTGGGTAGCTGTTAGGGACCCGAAAAGGGGTGTAACACATTTAGGGGTAAAATAGGGGTTCGAGTGATTGTGAGTGATCGGACTCTTTCTGAAGCATATTTCGGCCTCTCCTGGGGTTTTTGAGCCTTGTGCTTCGATTTCTGACCTCAAATAAGACCCCTTGGCTCAGTGGTAGAGCATCTGATTCCAGCCGTTGGTCACGTGATTCTATCACTGAGCCGAGCGCTTCCAGAAGGTCGTCCGTTCAATCCGGGCAGGGGTCAAAGAACTCTTTTGTTCGCACTTCCTTCGGCCTGATTTTTGTTCCTAGTTGTGCCCTAAGGTGCGCCCCTACCCCTACCACCTGGGGAACCCTGTTTTCGAGGCCCATGCACTTTATATTCGCCAATCAGGACGAAAAGGTCAACCTTCCCAAAAAGGAAATTGAAGTTCGATGCAGCTTAACGAGCCGAATTGTGACTGGTGGCGGAGCGGGGAGTCCCAAGGAGTTCAGATATACTGTCAGTATACCTCATCGCACGACATATATACCCCGGTGGTTCACAACTTCGAGTTCTGCATTGACAAGAACGGTTACTTCCCGGTAGTACGGTTGAAGGTTCTGTTGTTCAAGTTGCTAAAAGAATATCTGCTCTACATCCTGAATAGAAATTGAGCACAATTAGCCATGGAAGGCTCACAGCTCAGAGAGTTTCTAACTTCATTTCTTGCTTCTTCTAAGTATATGTACTCCCACAGCTACCACTACCTAAATTAATTAGGTACGTTGAGTATCCAGTCTCTTGGAGCAAAGTATCGATAAAAGTTTAGAGCGTCGGCCCTTCCTCTCGTAGCGTCTATCATGAAGACGCCAGAGAAGGGTAGTAGCGGCTCAAGATTGTTGATCAGTGTTAGACTTAAGCTCAGACCAAGTGATAAGTCGTAGTTTGACATTGTATTCCTATCTTACAGGATTTTTGGGGCTTGAGTCTGATACTTTACTTCTCGGTGGTAAGAGATTTGTGATCAGTTCGTGGTTGTAGGGTATTTTGGATCACACTGATCGAATCGACGGCTCAGTGGTAGAGCACTGCGGCCTATGGCTCAGTGGTAGACTATAACTTGATGGCTCAGTCGCTGAACATGATCGGTGTATCCAGAGCGGCAACAATTCCTACCTCCATTCGTAACGAGCGATAATTGTGTGCTGTATCGGCTATATGAGCCAATTGTCTTGAGGTAGGTCGACTCAGACACTGATGGTTCGAGCCCTCTATCGTTGCTGCTCGTCGGACAGTAGACGACTCTACCTGTTCTTTCTGTCAGTATCTCGTGGCAGGGCATTTCCTAGATTAATTTATACGAAGCGCTCGTCTAAGAGCCGCCATTATCCCGTATCCTCTTATATAGATTAATGATAAGGTCATTAGCCGTTAGCGTTATGATACTGTAAACGATTCAGTCGCCGAACCGCGTGTGGAATGAAAAATGCCCTACGTATGCGGTGCGATTCTCATGAAGTGTGCTGTCGACCCTGTTGCCATACTTATTTGATAAGAACACAACAATCTGCAGAACGAAATATTTCTCGCCTTTGTACCATCCGCGGAAACCTTCCGCTTTGGCTGTCTTCCAGAGACAGTCTATTGGGTTCTTATACAGGGTTCCCACCAGCTGGCCGTTCGGTCCGACGACAGTTGGTTGGTTATACACCCGTGTTAATGCCTTGAAACTCGTCGATAATCATGACCATTGGGAATAGACCAGAGACTCACAGTGTCGGCAGGCTGCATCACGATGCACTGCAAAACAATTAAATCAACTGCGACAGTATTCAGATAACCACGTAACGTACCACGCAGACACCCGAAACTGCGCTACTCGCGAGAAACGTCCACGCGCTGTTGGCCGGAAGGATATCGCGGCTCACCAGAAAGTTTTTGGTGAGATTATAACTCGGTAATTGCACCTACGTCAAGTAAGCGAATCTGAAGCTCAGGTCCCAAAGTGGAAAACGCACGGATGAGCCCATTGACGTCCGTAGAATTGCCGCATCTATGCCGCGAACGAGCCCTCGCAATCCTTCAGCGCGAAATATCGTCGAAAGTGCATGAAATGAACTCTTGTAGTGATGTTGGGCGCCGACAGGTAAAGCGGGAGAGTAAGCTTGCATTCGCGCCTTGATCAGAAACAGAGGGTTCCCGAAAGAGGCTGAACGCAAATGAACATTGGACGCAAGCATGATTCGGCAACACTTCACCGACCCCCGACAGCCCCGCTCGTCGCTCCAGCAATGATAGCAGTTGAACCTAGCTGCTCTTCAGGTCTCCGACCGATGAATTTGTTGATGTTTCGCCGGAATGGTTCGTAGAATCCTGGAATTCGCGTAAATGCAGCCGAATGGACATTCAAAATACCTACCCAGTCGTGAACCATTTAACAGTATCTAGAAGTATGGTCACGAAAATCAAAACAAGAATTAGAACGATATGCATACTTGGTACGCATACTAAAGGCAACACGTTAGACATATGGCAAGGTGAATAGAATTGTAGCGACATGCCGCAGGGCCAAGTCCTCTCTGCATCCCTCGAATGCCCTCGTTCTTGTATGTCTTCCCCATGGCATCGAAGGCATTTTTATAAACCTTTTCCACCCCAGACTTCGCCAGCTCGCCCTGTAGCTGCAAACGGGTCTTGGCTACTTCGGCAGGATTGGAAACAGTGACCTGAAGCGTTGGTTAGTCAGATTTGTCCAAGCACCGAGAACACTTGTACTCAACGGCAATGCACGCAGCTATGCCGCCACACATAAAACCCTCCGCGGTGGAAAGCGGGCGACCCATGGCGGGCGGGGACGCCATTCTACGCGTGGTGAAGGTAAAAGGAAAGGCCGAACGGACGCGTTAATTTTCTGACATGAAGTAAAGCCGAAAGGACCGAAAAGGACTTGAAGTGATGCTCCTTCACGGTCAACAGGGATGAACTCAATACTTGGCGATGAACTACCCAACTAGTGCTCAGACGGTCGTCTTCGTCTCCGTTCTCGCCGTAGTCCTCCCCGCCATATTCCGCATCGTCTCCAACCCCTTCACCCTCCTTCTTATCTCCCCCTTCGTTCTTGCGCTTCTGGGTATTGCTTTTCTCGTCCTCAATGTGCTTGTGAGCCATCTCCTCGATGCGAGAGCACCCCCAGCGAGGAATACTCTCCGCCATGCAGCCAGGCCCTTCGTGTTTTCAAGCCCGGCAGCCTGGCAGGCCGTTCTTACGCGCTCTCAGTGGTCGCAAGATAGTCCTCAATCATTCCCACCCCTGGTACCCAACGCGCCTGTTCTTTCTGGTGCAATAAACGACATCCTCATTATGATTGTCCGGGACTTCGTACTCGTGTGGTACAAGGACATATCCGCGTCTCCGTCGTTTCCTATGGCTGTCTCGTCTGTGCTGCACAAATCACTCGAAAACCTTCTCGATCGCGCTGCCGGTATTGACTTGGCAGAGCTTATGGTCAAGCGTATCTTGCCCAAGGTCACCGCTCATATTGAGCAGTTTCGGCAGTCGGAAGTCGCTCTTCGAGGCGCTGGTTTGGAACGACGATTGACACAGTCCGAGGAGCTGGACCTTTTACTGGCTAGTCGATACTCGACTGCAGGTCGCGAAAAGCTACACCCTAGTATCGACAACTTGTCCACCACGTTCACAAGGCAGACAGAAGAAGCACACCTCAGGCAGCTGGTGGCAAAAGCGCTTCCATTTGTTTTACCCAAGAATGAGGGACAGAGCAGGGTTCTGAAACTGGTAGTACGGGAGATTGTGGCTTGCGCCGTTCTATATCCAGTCATGGAAATGCTCTCGGACCCTGACTTCTGGAACAAAGCCATCGACCAAGTGGTAGGTACTCTAGACTCTTTGGGTGCTAAAGCATTCCTCAACTGTTCGCACAGGCTGGCGCAGCGATACATGAGCAAAAACTGATCAGTAAAGTACGAAATGTTCTAGAAGCTCAGGCGCCTCGTCCTCACCAGCGGGTGTCCTCCTCGTCTTCCTCCGTTCCCGCGGGACCAACAACCGAGAAAATCACTATCCGAACAGACCCTCGGCATTTCGAGTCGTTTCTTCGCAGCATAAATCGGTGCTCGTCGCTCTTGGATGCCCGCCGCCTGAAGAATGATGTCGTAGGAGAGATCAGGAGAACTCGAGTATTACTTGGTAAGCCATATCATTCCACTATCGACCCCTCGCACTCATATAGTGACTAGCCAATCACGAGAAGGAGGACTGGATCAACGGAGAGAAAACTGAAGACGTTGTTGCGTTCTTGGATAGACTCTACACCGCCAAGAGAAAGGTCGAGGAAAGGATCATTGTACTCGGCGGAGGGGATGATTCGGTAGGGTTCTTTATCTCGCTCAAACTCGGCGCTGAACCGTTCACAAGGGACGACCATCGTCATATCAAGAGCCGGGTCTCAAGTCTGGTGTTACTTTGCGCGATGTTTTGCAGAACCCCAGTTCTCTGTCGTACTTCATGGAATTTATGGACCGCCGGCATCGGTCTCTGCTTGTTCAATTCTGGCTCACAGTCGAAAGTTTCAAGAATCCCTTAGAGTCTGTGGATTCGAGTTCATCGGGCGACGAAGACGATCCCATCCAGGACGCTTCCAATCTAGTCACTGTGAGGGAGGATATATCCATGATCTACGAGCTCTATTTTTCCACTCCAACTCCTCATCCCACGCTGGCCTCGATCCCAAAGAAGCACATACAACGAATACGAGACTTCGCGACAAGTAAGGAGGAACCGTCGCTGGCCACGCAGCGGACTGTACGCAGGAGCGTGATGTTGGTCCAAAGACAGGTGGAACGCAGCATGGAGCACGATTTCGAAGACTTTGAACGTTCGGAATTGTGGTTTCGCGCGATCGGGGACACCGATTTCGGTCGCTCCGTTCAGAGAAATACACCCGAACCCTCTGTTCCTTCTCTCAAGGATCGCCGAACCGTCACATCGCCGGGCCTTGCAACTCTCCATCTCACAAACACCCCATCTCCTCTCAAACAAACATTCGGTCCAACACCACACATCCTTCCCCGTTCTGAATCCTCGCCCGGTTATGTCCGTCAGAGAACTCCGAGTAGCGGTTCGCATCGGTCAACCGGTTCTCAATCACACTCCCGCCCTTCCAATATTGAAGTACTCATGTCGCCTGTTTTCGACACGTCGTCCGACGACTTCCGCGCCCCACTGTTTGACGACCCCGATGATCACTTGCAGCGAGCGGAGGA